TCTTTCTTTCTTTCTTTCTTTCTTTCTTTCTTTCTTTCTTTCTTTCTTTCTTTCTTTCTTTCCCTTTCTTTCTTTTTCTTTCTTTCTTTCCCTTTCTTTCTTTCTTTCTATGTTAGAACCCCCAGTTACTTTCAGCAGACTGTTAGAAGTTTAAAGAGAACCTTCTTAAATAGGTTCAGTTGGTTTTCCAGCTGTCATCAAAACCCCTTTGCTCATGGACAAGAATGGATTTAGGAATCCCAAAGGTGTAAAATCTTCAGAAGTTCCTGTTTCTTAAGAGCAACAGGCTCCAATCTTTCCTTAAGGAAAAAGGGAACTGGGAACTTCTGAAGCAGCTCATGATTTAATTTCCCCGTTCTTTCTCTCTCTCTCTCTCTACCATCTCGCATCCCTGCAGAAATTAGCTCAGGAGTTTCTTAATCTGGGCAAACAGTTAGGCTCATCTCCCTTGAGTTGTTTATTACTGTTTATCACCGAATATTAAAGAACAATCAAACTCCCCTGGGTTGTATAGGCCCTAATTACCTGCCATAAGACTGCAGGAAATTCCCACCATTTTATCACAGTTCTAAAAAAAAAAAAAGAAATAAAAAACCTTGCTGCGATGAGAAGATAAGCAAAGCAACAGAAGCCGTTAGGTATTGGAATCCTACAAAGCAACTTGGAATTGGAATTAGCTTAGAAAGTGGGCAATTAAGAGAGAAGGCAGCATGATTGAGATTCAGCTAAGTAGGAATGTAGGGGATGTGGAGTTAGAAGTCTTGCAAACCTTTAGGTCTTTTTTATACCAATATTGCTAAATTGTCGGAGATGTCAACTTTGGTAAAGGCATTTCTTCCCTCCAGCTCTTCCCCTTTCCAGCTAGCTAAAGTGGCAGCCATAACATCTTGTGGAAGTGAGTTCCACTGATGAACCACGTGTAAACTCACTGCCCTAGGATGTCAAGGCTACTGCTTTAGGCATCTGGGAAAGACAAGAGCTGGAAAAAGGCTCTCCAGGGTGGATGTCCCCCCGCCCCCAGGAAAAGCTGGCTTGCTGTACCCACTCTGAATTATCTGTGTCCTTAGCAAAGCAACAGCCATCATACCAAAGTCAAATTATGTCCCCTTAATACAAATCTAGACTTTTTGACTGACAGATATCAAAATATCTGGGTCTGACAATTAAAGTTACTAAATTCTTATTTTGTGAACACGTTGTCAGGATTCCGGCAGTTACCCCCTTTTAAATCATGAGTCTCGAGCCAAACTTCCAAAACTTCCAAAGGATTTATTGGGAGTTAACATGCCGGCACTGCCTGGGTGTAGCCGACTCTGCGACACATCATTCATTGTCACCCTTGGCCCTGGTTTTCCTCCATCCCCTGGGTGAATCATAAAGCCAACAGCCCAATTATTGTCTTGAATTAAAATTGGACTGACCCAGCAAGAACCCAGGAACCTTTTAAGAAATCTGGGGTTGAATAAAAAGGGCTTAGACTTATATACTGCTTCTTAGTGCTTTACAGCCCTCTCTAAGAGGTTTACAGAGTCAGCATCTTTCCCCCAATAATCTGAGTGTTGATTTGAATACTTAAATGCCCATTTCATTCCACTTCATGGTATCTTTGTCCCAAGGGTTGTTGTTTTTTCTCACCCTACTTGCTTATTGATCCATGTTAGTTGGTTCAGTGGAATAACCCGTGCTTTCTGTAAGATGCTTGGGCCTAATTCAAGGTACTCAAAATTACCTGATTTGAGCCGTTGTTAGTTTTGAGCAATATGTAATACATTGCTTTTCTAACTTTTGAGGCTAGGTCTCTGATTTTTCCATGTTCTATAGATACATAGATGCTAGATCAGGATGAATAATGCTAGCATCCTATAAATACAGGTGTTCAAGACATCAAGGTATAAATGCTGTGAGCCATGCCACCTTTTCAATGTTCCCTGTTATTGCAAGGTGCAATTTATTTTTCTCACCTCTAGCAAGAGGCATTCTTTTTTTAAAAAAAAACAAGTTTTATTCAATTTTTCCAAAACAAAGAGACTGGCTAAACATCAGGCTGCTGCTTTGGTGTCAATGTGATTCAACCCTCCAACCCTTTTTTTAAAAAACAAAAATCAAAAACAAAACCAGGGGAGAGAATTCGAAGCCTCGGACTTGGCGTCCAATGTTTCATTCCGATTTCTTCTCTCCTCTCCCTTTTCACTCTCCTTTTTTTCCTTTTGGCAACCTGAAAGTCAATTGTCACCAAATGGGCATTTTAACATGATAAGAGAGCTGATTGGATGGGATTGGGAACTGGGCATATAAATGTAAATAAAATTGAATTGAGATTGCTTTTTTTTTTTTGCTTTGGGGCTCTCTGAGGCTTCGGCGTGGGCTTTTCATCTTAGAAAACACGATTTCAGCCTGAAGAAAATCGATCTGGACCACCTGCTCTTCTCAGGACTGATTCAGTGAGACTTCCAAGATAAATGTATAAATTTTTCTCCAGATCGTAGAATCAGAAAAGCTAGCATGTTTAGTTGGGGGAGCTTCCTGGTGTCGAGTGGGCCAGTTGTAGAGAGGGGGAAACGCAGAGGTTGTATTCAGCCGGTTCTGACCGGTTCTCGAGAACCGGTAGCAAAAATTTTGAGTAGTTTGGAGAACCGGCCAATACCACCTCTGACTGGCCCCGGCCCCATCTATTCTCCGCCTCCCGAGTCCCAGCTGATTGGCTGGGTCTTCTTTGGTTGCCCTGCACAGGAGAACGGAGCTGGAAAGCAGGTTAGTGGGGTGGAGAGGGAATGGGGATTTTGCAATAACCTTCCCCTGCCACGCCCAACAAGCCACACTCACTAAGCCACACCACACCCACCAAGTCACACCCACAGAACTGGTAGTAAAAATTTTTGAATCCCACCACTGGTTCCAATATCTCAGGGGCTGCCCCAAAGAAGAGGGGGTCAAGCTATTCTCCAAAGTACCTGAAGGCAGGACAAGAAGCAACGGATGGAAACTCATCAAGGAGAGAAGCAACTAAGGAGAAATTCCTGACAGTGAGAACAATTATTCAGTGGAACAACTTGCCTCCAGAAGTTGTGAACGCTCCAACACTGGAAGTTTTTAAGAAGAGATTGGACACCCATTTGTCTGAAATGGTATAGGGTTTCCTGCCTAGGCAGGGGGTTGGACTAGAAGATCTCCAAGGTCCCCCCCAACTCTGTTATTCTATCCTATTCCTATTCCTATTCCTATTCTTATTGCTATTCTACTCTACTCTACTCTACTCTTCTATTCTACTCTACTCTACTCTTCTACTCTACTCTACTCTACTCTACTCTTCTATTCTACTCTACTCTACTCTACTCTACTCTTCTATTCTACTCTACTCTACTCTACTCTACTCTTCTATTCTACTCTACTCTACTCTACTCTACTCTACTCTACTCTACTCTACTCTACTCTACTCTTCTATTCTACTCTACTCTACTCTTCTATTCTATTCTACTCTACTCTTCTATTCCCACTGCCTGTGACTCGTTTCCTCTCCTCTCCGCAGGTGCTCCACTCCACCGCCTACTACTGCCAGACCATCCTGGATGACAACAGCTCTTCGGCTTTGATCATCCTGGGCTTCGTCATCATGTCTCCCCTCATCGTGGTCTCCATGGCTCTCTACTGCAGCCTGGCCCGCCGCCTCCACCTCTTCCTCTGCTTCCAGCCATGCGCCCGGGCCATGTACAAAGGCGTGAAGTGGCGGTGGTATGAAGAAGGGGGGCTCTGCGGGTGCGTGAAGGAATGGAACCACCAAGTCAAGGCTTGGGTCTGAGCTGCTTCTCCCAGCCTCTCCGTGCAGTTTGGTTAGTTTCAGAGGGAGGGGGGGCACGAAGGAAGAGCAGTGATAGTAACCCACTGCCATGTTTTTCCACTCCCACCCTTGCGCAGGCTCTTTGTGCTCAGGAGTAGCCAGGCTAAAAGGCCTCCCTGGTTTTCAAGGCAGCTTTGGGCTAGATAATCCCACCAGGGTGTGTCTGTTATTTGAGCTGCACAATGGGGCGGGGCCAAAGCAGTGGTGGGTGGAGCCAGAGCCCAAGTGTGGGGTGGGGGAAACGGCACTCCATTCCCACCTAATACACTTCACTGGTTCATGCGATGACTTTGAGTATCCGGCTTGGTTTTTCTAGCAAACTTCGCTTACTTTGTGATTCGTACATTTTGGGTGAGTTTATTGGCTCAAGATGTGCCGTAAATGCAGGAAATGGATGGATTCAGGATAAGGTAGATAATATCCCCAGGTTGCAACCATCCTCAATTTCACGTCCTCGTTTGCAGGTTGATTAATTTTTCAATATGATTTTTTAAAAATTAAGAGGGAGTTAGTTGCCTCTTAAAAATGCCGAACATCAACTAGCAGTCAGAAGACACGGTGAAAATGCTTCACTCTCACAAACAGAGTAACATTTGTGACTCCAAGGTATCTTTAAGGCTCCTTCAGATGGAAAATATCCAAGGAGGTTCCGTTCATTACTTCACTGAAAAATATCTGGGAACTTGGCCCTTTTGTCTGTTTGAATGGTAGGTGAGGCATGCCCCCACTTCCATAATAAGGAAACTTTTGGCCACCCATTCAGGAGCAAAAGATTCTCTGGGTAATTTTATTTTCTGCAAAAGCAATTTCCTTGTCAACTAAAAAAAAAATTTCTTTGGTCTTTTTAGTTGCCAGCAGAAAGGGAGTGGAGAAAGTAGTACATTCCATAAATGCTTCAGATAATTGCTAGGCAGCTGAAGCTGTTGGCATGCAAGATTATTACTGGAGAGCATGATTGATGACTCTTTGCTATAGATGTGTCCTATTGGAGAATACACATCCAGGGGGGGGGGGAGACCAGGGTCAAGGGTGAAATGAATGATGTTAGCAAAAGTTGGCCTGCCCTCAAGCCCTCTGTCAGCCGCAGCAGCTCCCATGCTTCGCTGTATGGTGTGCTGGGGCCACATCCAACCAGTTTTCATGTCTTCCGGCTGATTTTGATGTGCAGCCCATGAATGCAGGGGGGACTGGTGCAATGGCAGCAATTCAGGGACATGACGCGCCACCATCTGCGCTCCCAGAGCTCTAAGCACTTCGCGATTCAAGTAGTTGAAATGCGCCCAAACGTTCCTTGGATCGCTGAGCCAGCTGCAATTTTTTGCTTGGCAGTGCAGCTGTGTCCTCACCGATGTCTCGTGGGTATCCTTAAAACTGAGAACGGGGTGCAATGGATGAGATTTCTGAAACCTCTTGTCAGGATTCTGGCAGTTACCCCCATTTAAATCATGAATCTCGAGCCAAACTTCCAAAACTTCCAAAGGATTTATTGGGAATTAACATGCCAGCACTGCCTGGGTGTAGCCGACTCTGAGGCACACAATTCATTGTCACCCTTGACCCTGGTTTCCCCCCACCCCCTGGGTGTATCGTAAGTCATATTCTCCAATGAGGCACATCCATAGCCCAGAGTCATCAATCACGCTCTCCAGTTAGGATTTTGCACAGCAGAAACTTCAGTCACTTAGTTACTATCTTTGAAAAACTATTTATGGAATGCACTTTTGGTTTCCAAGCTGCCCCACTGCTCCCTCTCCCTTTCTGTTGGCAACTCTAAAAAGACCATAGAAATACGTACTTTATGAGTTGACACCTGTCATTGTTGGGCAAAGAGCTGCATCCTGTAACACCCTGATTGTGAGCTCCGTGGAGTGGTGTTTCCGGCTACTTTTCTTCCTGTCCTGTGTAACTCTTCCAGCTGCTGTTGTGTATCAGTATTGTGGGGACACCACAGATGATGCCCGATGCTCTTCCACTGTCTAGCTAGATATTAAAGATTCTTTTAAAATATGCATGTCCATCGTCTCGGTTTTTCTTCTCCCTTTCGGGAAATGTGTCTTCTGAATTGCTTAACACTACAGGAGCACCTGGCAAGTGTTTTGTGACTGGCCACTGTCAACACAATCTTTGTCACTGCCTCCCATTTCAGCATTACATTCATTTACAGTATTTAACTACTTTTTTTCCCCACCGTCTGCTTCCTTGGTCTTCCTTCTCTCGTCCTGTTTATAATTGTTCTGCTATCCATCTAATGAATGTGGATAAATACGTTGTACACATGGAAATACAGGTAGCCCTCAACGTAGTTCATTTAGTGACTGTTTGAAGTTACGACGGCAGTGAAAAACGTGACTTATGACCGTTTTTCACACTTACAAACATTGCAGCTTCCAAATTCATGTGATCAAAATTCAGTGACTTGGCAAGTGACTCATATTTATGACGGTTGCAGTGTCCCGGGGTCCTCAAAATTTTGAGGATCACCTGTGCAGCTGTTTCCATCTTGACCCCAAATTCTGCTCATTTGAGACAAGGGAGAGAAAGTTTGATGACCCAAAGGGGCGTGGCACAAAGGCAACACAGTCACATAAGTAAGAAGAGTCCCTTTAATACCTCCAACTTTGCCCCCAATGTCCAGTTACCTCTAGCTGGAGAAAAAACTCTCGCAAGAACAGTCTTGAAGTGGAGGAAATTCAGTCCAAAAACAAAGTACATATAAACTGTAAATAAAAATCCACACAAACCACGCTGCAGCAATTAACTGGACAGGGCAGGAGAAGGAATTGCAGACTTGAGAGGCCAGCAAAACACACACAGTTGGGAAGACACCAGGAACCCAGATAAGCCTCGACGAGACCAGATAAATTCACGATTTGTTCCCAACAACTTGCTGTGCGCAACCTCTCTTTTTAAATACTGTGTTCCCAGATGCAGCTAATGAAGGGAATCAGGACCCTTTCCTCCCCCGTAAGCCATGCAACTCATGTTGCTCCCTTCTCCGTTCCTCCCTGCGTGGCCTAGGATGAAGAGGGGATGGGTCTGGGTCTTCCTCTGAATTCCCTCTCCCTTGCTCTACCTCTCCCCTGCTCTGCCCAGCTGGACTGTGCTCTTCCCCAGTTTCTTCCACAGCCAACGGAGCCACACTCACACTCCCTGTCAGCACTCGTCCTCCCCCTTGGAATCAGAGTCCAGCAGGGCCATGACAGAAAGTCCCTTTTTTTCCTCAGATCTAAGCTCTGTTTTTTGTATTAAAAAATGCTGAGAAACAACTATCCCGGTTAAGGCACGTCAACAGAGATTTAATTTGCTCGTTTTATTTCCTGGAGAGGAGTGTTAATACTGTTGATGGAGAAAAATGGATGTGCTAAACAACAGCTATTAACCTTCCGTCTCGGAGCCAATTCTTTCAGGGGTGAAATTAAAACAGCTTTCATTTATTTCCTTGATTGGATATGAGCAGGCTAAATGTCTTGATCATGATCAGGCCTTTCAAAACTGCCTTGGGTTTTTGTTTTTGATTTGTTTGTTTTTTGGTTTAACCCCTTCAGCTGCCCTAAGTTACTGGTGCTCTCTGATATCACGCCTATGGAGCTTCTCAGGTCACTTTTTCCAAGAGGCAACTGGATTTTCTTGGTTTTTCTTTTGAAGACGTTTGGGGGTCTGAGAAGCTTCTTCAGCTCAGATTTGGATGGCAGGGAATGGAAGGATCGAATGAAAGGAAGAATGGAAGGATTGGCAACACAGATGATGAGGTGACTGGAGGCTAAAACATAGGAAGAACGGTTGTTGGAACTGGGTATGTCTAGTCTGGTGAAAAGAGGGACATGGGGTGACAGGATAGCAGTCTTCCAATATTTCTTATTTGCCCAAAGAAGAGGTAGTCAAGCTATTTTCCAAAGCATCTGAGGGCAGGACAAGAAGCAATGGATGGAAACCACGGAGAGAAGCAACCTCGAACTAAGGAGAAATTTCCTGACTGGGAGAACAATGAACTTGCCTCCAATACTGGAAGTTTTTAAGAATGGATGGTCCAATACTGGATGGTCCAATACTGGAAGTTTTTAAGAAGAGATTGGATAAGCATTTGTCTGAAATGGTATAGGGCTTCCTGCCTAAGCAGGGGGTTGCACTAGAAGACCTCAAAGGTCCCTTCCAACTCTGTTATTCTATTCTATTCTTTGCTGTATGAATAGTCCTTGCAGACAGCTGGTCATTTGCAATATTTTTTTAGAGAGTCCTTGAGGCCACTTGGAGGTATATCGGTATCCTCAGGGTCATCTCAGTGATGCAAATGGATGTGGAGCCTTCTTGGGGCCGATGAAAGGACTGTGTTGTAGACAGGAGATTTATTTTATTTATTTTTTATTTATTTATTTGATTTGTCAATCGCTTACAAGACAATAGATGCAAGTATAAACATGAGTAAGAATACAGGAAATGGGTACGAATAAATGGGGACCTTCTGTTGAGGAAGGGCTGTTCAGTTTTGACCTCGCTGGCCTCTCACACCTCTGATATCCCCCGTGCATTAAGTAACCTTTCTCAACATCCTAAATTTCCGGGGCTTTCTGTCCTTGACTGCTCAGGAAAATCAATTCCTTAATTAACTCCGTGGAAAGGCTTACAGTACCGCAATAAAAAAAAATTAAAATACCGCCGTAAGTTAACAGCAAGCAAATTCCTCTTCAGAAAACCAGGCCCACGGAATCAGAAGCTGTTTATATCAAATTTTAATGGGGCTGAATTCCGTATCCTTCTTTCTCTACCAAAGATCTCACTTTTTTAAAAAAATATATTAGGGCCGGGAAAGATGCCAGGGTGAGAACTTGGGCAGCAAAACTGAGACACAGCTTGTTAAATAAACCACAGCAGCAAAATTCGGCTGTAAATGCTAAGCTTGGTGTTTTTTTTAATGCTACAGTGGGAGGAGGGCACTGTAATGACCCAGGGCGTGGCCCAAAAGC